AGAAAAAATTCAACATTGATAATAAAAAGAAATGTTTCATGAGCAGCAAATTAGCATATTAGAATGATACTGAAAATTCAGGTTTGCCAACACAGAATAAATGACATTTTAAAATGTATTAAAATCGAAGTCAGTTGTTTTAAATTGTGTATTATTTCACAATTGTTCTATACTGAGACTTTCTTCCAAACATAAAAATAGTCAAAGTTTATGGACTTTTTTGCCATTCGTTCAAATCACTAACCCCACATAAGAATGATACTAATAGTTTAGCAAGCACCACAAATGAGTAGGAAAAATATCATGGTAAGAATCAAACATGGTTTGAAATTTGTAATCACATAATTAACCAAGAAAACCAGTTGGTTTACATGGCTTGTGCCCCAGAAAACAAGGTTGTAATTGTGGGCATCTTGACACCAGTGATTATATAGATGCTATGTAGATGTGGGTGAAAATGGAACTGAGAACCATATTTTGTATAAATTCATTGCTTTTAGAGAACGACACTACAGTTGCAAACAAAAATGACTAAAATCAACATTATTATTACTATAATTTTTAATGTTTTTTTTTTGTAAAGGAAAGCTTTGTTGAATGAAAATATAAATATTAATTCTAAATATTGTATATATGTTTATATTATAAATAGTATAAATATATAATGCATCATTTTTAGTGCTAGTGCCACTGACAATATTGGCAGGGTCGGTATAAATCTGAACTACTGGCCCCACTGGGCCGGCAGACAAAAATCTTATTGTTGAGCTCTGTAAGATTTTCGAACAACATGAGGGTGAGCAAATAACACAATTTTCATATTTCAGATGAGCTAATCCCATATGAAAGGTTTCTTTATACAAGTCTCCGCAATGCCATTTTTCGAATTGTGGTGTAATTATTGAAATTCTCATGTAAGCAGCTCAAACTGACTCTTGATGATCCACTGAAAGCTCTTGGCGATTATTGGGCAGGGCCTGCTGATGTTTGGATGACAGGGGGTTCCTTGCTAAGAAGAAATTGGAAGCTGATTGGCCCGTCTGAAGAGCAGCGGAACCACGGATGCTCTTGCTTGATGAGTGGCAGACGGACTGGATTATTTCAGGGTCTGACCCTTTAGATTGGCATGAGGTTTATCACGGTTTAGTCAGTGAGACACCATTGAGATTACAGCACGGGTTAGCAGTCAAACTGCTACCCTCTGGATCATTGCTTCAGATGCTGTGATTATATTTTCACTCCTCACATCAAACCATCTTAATCCCCTTGGACCAAATCCGCAGACTCTTGGATGTTACCTGTCTAGTATCTGTTGTAGGGATGTTCATTTTAACCGCTTAACCGTTAACCAACCGTGAAGAATTTGGACCGATTAATACAATCAGTTAAACGGTTTAAAAAGTAATTTATTTATTTATTTAATTTTTTTTTTTGTAATTTATCAAAATATTTAAAAAGGTTTGCTGCATGGTAGAAATGCGCTATGCATATAAAACAAAACAAAACAAAACAAAAAAAAACCTTGTCGCATCTAAGTCACATTTTATTATTTCATTCAGAAATAGGCCTAATCCCGACACAAAATGTTTACAAACATTATAATAATTTAATAAACACTGCAAACATAGCTAGGCTATTTTAGTTCCCCTCACTCCACAACAAATCCTTTCAATTGACAGTATTTAGAAAAATATAAGAAGCTATAGCTAAACGACAAGCCAAAACGAATTAATTTAGGCTAAAACGAAACTGAAACCAACGTTGCGTCTCTCATTCGACACAAAATCAAAAGTTTCCGTATTCGCCATGTATTTGAATGCCAAAATATTATTTATTATGTAGCCTACTTCACTCAAGTTCCAATATCCACGTAAAACTAAATGGTTTGCATAACATCATTCACGGCGGTACGGTGATAACGCTTAATGGCACAGATTTGACTACATGTTTAAACTGAGCGGTGTGTTTTTTCCATATGTTTGACTGACTGTATTTTATTATGATAATGAACAGACTGCTTTGTCAAGGTAGCAATGCTTAATTGTGTGCATGTATGCAGCGCCGGCACGATCATTTAAATTTTTTCCTTCTAACAGTGGAAGCAACTACTCCTTTTAGTCATAAAGATAATCGGAATTGTAAAAGGTTTGCCTTTATTTGTGTACATTCACAATAAAAACAAATCTTTGTGCTTTTGTAAAATAAGCCTAAAGAAAAATAGGATGCCGCTTTCTGCCGTCTGTTTCCTTTCGCGCAGCACAAAAATAAACTGAAATTCTGCATACTAGGCTAGGCTACTTGTTGCACAGTTTTTATTTTGTTTTCTTAATTTATTAAGTAAAAATATATTTCTTGTATAGGCCTATTTATCGTTTTATATATATATATATAGGCCTATAGCCTAGCTTTATTATGTTTTTCTACGCTCACAGAAGCGCTGCAGGTGCATGATGTGATATGATGGCCATGTGAATCCTCATGTTCTGTTGTTTGCTGCTTTTTGCGCATGTAAAATTAATCCCCGGGAAACAAATGTTAGTATTTTTTAACGGGTCACAGACACGTATCCTTTCTAATTTAATTAAATTTGAATTTAAAATAATCTTGTCGATTAACGGTTAATAATCGGTTAACGAGCGTTGGTTGTCGGTTAGGAAAAATAACCGAAATGAACATCCATAATCTGTTGCTCTTGTCTAGGTATATGGCCATGTGTGCTGCTGGGTTTGGCTGGATCATGTGTAGAAAGGGTATTCCCTTGTATATCTTTTCCTAATTGCAATGTCCAATCTTTGTCAGTTTTTATTTTTATGTTGTTGTTTTAAAAAGAGGGTGTTTGTTTTCATGAATTTAAAACCCAGTCTAATCAGAATGTATCACAATCACAGCATGAGCATCACATCTCTGCTTGATGTGTTAGTCTGAGAGCAGTGACTCATTTTCTGTCTCAGTTTAGAGGTTGTGCGCACAATTATGAATGGCCTGTAATGCGCTCATTTATGAATGGCATGACAGTACGGTTGCCACAATACTAAAAATCAGTTATTGATAACAATACCAGTCAAATTTCAATATTCAGTAAAGGTAATTTATGATTATTTTCTTGATTTTTTTTATAGTTATCAAAATAAAATTAATATAAATATAAAAAAATTAAACCAATTGCATTATCATTTTGAGGTAAACTTTTAATATTAATTGTAATGATATTAATATAAGTATTACTAGTAAAGAATAAATCTTTTTTGACATTCCTATGTGAACAGTATCATAAATGAGTAGTATTGTTGATTTAAATCTTAATGTTGTTGCTGAGTTTTAATGATAAGTTCTCCTTTTCTTTTTTTCATCTACAGGAGATCATTGTGCGAATGAGTGAGTGATGCAGGTTTCGTTTCTCCAGGTAAGTCTATTAATTTGATCCTTGACAATCACAGAGGTTCCTATGGGGACAATCCTTTGTAAAAAAAATAAAATAAAATAATAATAATAGGATTTTGTTGGTGCTGTTAAATAGTTAAAGGGAGCGTTAACCTAAAAATTCAAATTTGCTCATAATTTACCTACCCTCAGGCCATCCAAGCTGAAACTGTGGTCCTTAGTGATTCATAAAATCAAGTCAACAGCTACCGTCACTTGAGAGTCCCGTCATCAGCCCACGTCTCGCCCCTTGTCAGTTACCGCTACGTCACGTAACGGCAACAAAAACATGGACAAACACTGAACGATTGTATTTTTATTAACTAACATTAACAAAGATTAATAAATTTATTGTTCCAAGCTCGTTTGTAAACCACGCGTGCAAGGTTTATGTGCATGGTCGAAGTCTTCTTCTCCGTTTTTAGTGTATCTATGTGGCAGAATTACAGCGCCACATGCTGGTCTGGCATGTATACTACATCATTTTGTGACGGTTTCGTGGTTTCGTGTGGACGCAGATATTTCTTGAGACAAGGTGAAAAAAAAGATTGGATAGGGAAAGCTCTGGCTTCTTGTGGACGTAACCTAAAATACTTAATTTGTGGTGTTGGTGTGTATCTCCTCATCATGCTCTAGGCCCATGTACGATTGCCTGTTTTTTTTGCTCTGCAGGCGTTGCCTATATGTCCCATTCAGGCCTCATGTGATGCTGCCTCGAAGGAGGAGAATAAGGAGAAGAACAGATATGTGAACATCCTGCCCTGTAAGGCTTTCCCACAACTTATCTCCAAACCAGAGCTGATAAAGCATGCTTTTACCAGAGCTACAAGGCCTACAAAGGAGTTCATTATGTGAAAAATAATGCTGGGAGCCTTATAATCTGTTTTATTTTTTACACCTTTTCTCAGATGATCATTCTAGGGTGCATTTGACTTCTCTGGAGGGAGTTCCTGACTCAGACTTCGTCAACGCTTCCTATATAAATGTAAGTCCACAAGCGCAAGACTGATAATTATTTTCACGTTATTGCTGATATAAAAATTTGATGCAATTTTGTTTGAATTAATTAAAAATAAATCTCTAAAACAATTTTTTTTGTTAATGGTGTTATCTTCGTATAATTACATATACTATTATAATATTTATTTATATTTTGAATACAATTTTTGCTTTTATCCATTTAGTTTTTGATTTTCATTTTAGTTTAAATTGGAAGAATTTTGTAATGTGCTCAATACAGTGTCTTAGTTTTTGTTTTTTGTTTGGCTTTTATTTTAAATTTTTTTTAGTTTTAGTAATATTTTCTTTTTTAATAAATCTGCAAAAATGTCAACAATTCTGTGTTTTTCTGTCAATATGGTGTGCTGTGTGTACATTAATGAGGAAAAAAAATTAACTTAAATGATTTTAGCAAATGGCTGCAATATAACAAAGAGTGAAAAATTTAAGGGGGTCTGAATACTTTCCGTACCCACTGTACATTGATAAACATACACATACATAAATACATCTATACATATATGTCCTATCAATTACAGGGAGTGAAATGCAGATGCATAAATACCAGAGGAATTAAGAGCATGAACAATCCTACAATAAGTGCTGTTCAGAAAACGTGAAGACTTGGTTTTAATTGCTCTAAGGCGTCTGTCTGAAGGTAGAGGCGTAAAGAGGTGACTGGCTGGATGCAAGGGATATTTCAGGATTGTTAGACCTTTTTTTCTGCAAACGTGAGACATAAATCTCATCAATAGTGGGAAGATCACAACCAATCATTTTCAAAGCATCCCATATTATATTACTAATCTGACTTTGGAGCTACCAATCCACACTAATTTAGAAAGTCAGCACATTTTCAATGATAGCACTATAAAAATTGAACATAACTTTAGATACGCCAAACTTTTTAAGCTGTCTCCAGAAAAAAAGCTTTTGATGGTTTTTATTTTAAGAAGTATTGTTGAAATATTGTTTGGTGAATGATAACAAACTCTGTTGTGTGTGTTTGTGTGTTTAGGTGGGTGATGTGTCTGGTAAGAAGCCTCAGAGGCTGGTCACACAGTTTCACTTCACCAGCTGGCCTGATTTCGGGGTTCCTTTCACTCCCATTGGCATGCTGAAGTTCCTTAAGAAGGTCAAGACCTGCAACCCACAGTATGCTGGACCCATAGTGGTTCACTGCAGGTAAAGAGCTTTATTATCTTGTGTGTATGTGCATGACAGAGTACACTACCATTCAAAGGGTTTTTTGTTTAGGGTTTTTACTTTTATTCAACAAGGATGCATTAAATGAATCAAAAAATGTCAGTAAAGACATTTATAATGTTACAACATTTCTATTTCAAATAAATGATGTTCCTTTAAACTTTCTATTTATCAAAAAAGTCCTTTGGGAAAAATCAAGATTTCCACAAAAACTTCAAGCAGCACAAATGTTTTTAACATTGAAAAATTCAGCTTTTCCATCACTGAAATAAATAAAATTTTCAAAATACATTAAAATAGAAACTGTTATTTTAAATTGTACTAATATTTCACAATGTTTCTTTATTTGATCAACTAAATGCAGCCTTGGTGAGCATAAAAGATTTTTTTTTTAAAAACTAACTTTTGAATAGTAGTATTTTTGAGCAGTTTATTTGAAAGTTAGCGATTTCCAGTAACTGATTCTCATCTGTTCTTCTCAGTGCGGGTGTTGGCAGGACAGGGACCTTCATTGTGATAGATGCTATGCTGGACATGATGGGGGCAGAGAGAAAGGTCGACGTCTTCGGATTTGTCACACGGATCAGAGCCCAGCGCTGTCAGATGGTCCAGACTGATGTGAGCTCATACAAACCTCTCATTAAAGCTGTAATACAGCTGTATTAAGTCTCAACATGCTCATCTCCCACCCTCCATCTCTCCCTACAGATGCAGTATGTGTTTATATTCCAAGCTTTGCTAGAGCACTACCTGTACGGAGACACAGAGTTAGAAGTGACATCTCTGGAGTCTCACCTGAATAAGCTGTACGCTCCTTTATCTGGAGCCGGCTGTGGAGGCATGGAGGCAGAGTTTAAGGTAGCACAAACAGCTTTTTTTTTGCTTGCTTTTTGGGAAATAATTACTGGGACCACGTTGAAGTGTAGTACATATTTTCTTATGTTCTGTTTTGTTTATTATCTTTTTCTCTCTTTTAGAAACTTACCTCAATTAAAATCCAGAATGACAAGATGAGAACAGGGAACTTGCCTGCCAACATGAAGAAAAACCGTGTTTTGCAAATCATTCCATGTGAGTTGTGTATCAATGTTGAATAATCAGACTGTGAATTGGGAGAATAACTTTTGAATAATCAAAAACGCACTACTGTTAGAGGTCAGTAACATTTTTTTTAAATTAAATTAATGCATCCTTGGTGAATAAAAGTGACAGGAAAGACATTTATACAAAGGGTTCCTGTTTCATGTAAATGCTGTTCTTTTTAATTTTTTACATTTGCCTCTTGTTTCCACAAAAATATTGCTAATAATAAATGGTCTGAGCATCAAATCAGCATATTAGAATGATTTCTGAAGGATCATGTGACACTGAAGTCTGGAGTAATGATGCTGAAAATTCAGCTTTGCTGTTAAAATTATTTAAATAAACCTTTATTTTAAATTGTAAAAATATTTCACAATATTACTGTTATAAATAAATGATGAGCATAAGAATAATTTTAAAAAAAATCTTACTGACCCCAAACTTTTGAACGATAGTGTAATTGTTTCTAACATGTTCTCTGCTCAGTCTGCTGGGGAAAAAAACATATTTATGTAGTTTATACTTTTTCTAGTATATAATTATATTATAATTTATCTTTATGCTTTTATCCTTTTACATGTTATTTGGCAGTTGCTTTTATCCAAAGAGACTTCAAGGTGTACTGACACTGAAGTCTGGAGTAATGATGCTGAAAATTCAGCTTTGCTGTTAAAATTATTTAAATAAACCTTTATTTTAAATTGTAAAAATATTTCACAATATTACTGTTATAAATAAATGATGAGCATAAGAATAATTTAAAAATAAATCTTACTGACCCCAAACTTTTGAACGATAGTGTAATTGTTTCTAACATGTTCTCTGCTCAGTCTGCTGGGAAAAAAACATATTTATGTAGTTTATACTTTTTCTAGTATATAATTATATTATAATTTATCTTTATGCTTTTATCCTTTTACATGTTATTTGGCAGTTGCTTTTATCCAAAGAGACTTCAAGGTGTAAATTTATCAGCATGTGCATTCCTTGGCTTCTTTCTGAACCTTCACTGTTTCTTCCAGATGAGTTTAACAGAGTGATCATCCCTGTGAAACGAGGGGAGGAGAACACAGACTACATCAACGCCTCTTTTATAGATGTGAGTAAAACCCGTCTGACCTCAGCCAACAATTACTCCCAACTCACCGAGATATCGCTCAGGGAAGTCTGGAGGGAATGCTACAACAGAGACCACACAGCATGCTTTTCTTTTCTTTTGGGAGTGGTTTAAACACGCATTTTTCTGTCATGAAGTTATATGGACGCCCATGCTGAGATTAGGAGCCTGGGACGCTGACCATTGCTGTTTTTTTAAACCTAGTGACCAGCTCACTGGAAAAAATAAAATGATTATAAATGTATTTATTTTCATTCGATACTAAAAAGTATCATTATTACAAACTTAAAATCAGTTGATGCTGAGTGTCGAAAGTTCAGATTAGTCACTTATGAGGTTGCATGACAAGTAAGATGTTGCCTTAGAAGGCAGCTGCCTAAGTAGGCAGTGAGGCAGCTCACTAGGTTTTGGGATAGACCTCATGTGTTCATCCCTCCATCGCAGATCAGTCAGAGTTTGTCAGCTTTGTTTTGGCTAAAAGCCCTTTCGCATCCTCTTCTTTTTGTGTGGCTGAAGCACTTAATCATAAGGTAATCAAACAAAGGAAAACTTCTCCAGTGCTGCCATAATGATAACGGAGCTTTGCAATCTGGAAGATAACTATAGTGATAAACAAAAGCCTTTTTTGTCGTATGTTTTGTGCATTTTTACTATACGTGTGGTCAGTAATTTTTTATTTATTTAATTTTTGGAAAGATTACGTTTATTCAGCAAGGTTGCATTACATTGATCAAAAGTGACATCAAAGATATTTATAATGTTACAAAATATATCTATTTCAAATAAATGCTGTTCTTTTGAACTTAGTTCATCAAAAATCATTTAAAATGTATCAGTTTTGAAAACAAATGTCTTCAACATTGATAATAAGTAGGATCACAGGAATGAATTACATTTTAAAATATATAGGAATAGAAAACAGTTATTCTGAATTGCAATAATATTCCACCATATTACGGTTTTGACTGTAATTTTAATCAAATAAATGCAGCTTTGGTGAGAATAAGAGACTTCTTTCAAAAACATTAAAATCGTAATGACACCAAGCTTTTGAATGGTAGCATATATCCATGATTACAGCTGGAAAATGTCTAGTGTATACAAATGTAGTCATATTTGTGTGTGTGTGTGTGTGTGTGTGTGTGTGTGTGCAGGGTTATAGGCAAAAGGACTCGTACATGGCATGTCAGGGGCCGCTGCAGCACACCATTGAAGACTTCTGGAGAATGATCTGGGAGTGGAGAAGCTGCTCTATCGTTATGCTGACCGAGCTGGAGGAGAGAGGACAGGTACGTTCACCTGCCTCCTTTCTCTTTGTTTGCATCTATATGCTAACTCCGCTTACAAAGGTGTCTTTTTGTGGTGTAGCCTTGTAGTTAAAGATCTGGGCTAGCTACAGAAACATTGTTGAATTTTCAACCCCGCCAGGTGGGGCAATAGAATAATAAATCTGTCTCTTCCCCACTCTCTGCAGGAGAAGTGTGCTCCATATTGGCCTAGTGACGGTGTGATGGTTTGTGGAGACATGTCCATTGAGTTGAAGAGGGAGGAGGAAAGTGAAAGCTACACTGTTAGGGACCTTCTCGTCACCAATAACAGAGTAAGTCCATTTCAGAGGATCTCCTGAAACACTGTTTATGTCTTTTAGCACTGTATTTTAACGTTTGCCATTGATGTAATTGCCATTTTCTTTCTCTCTGCAGGAAAATAAGTCTCGGGCTGTGAGGCAGTTTCATTTCCATGGCTGGCCAGAGGTGGGCATCCCGTCTGACGGGAAGGGTATGATCAACATAATCGCTGCAGTTCAGAAACAGCAGCAGCAGTCTGGAAACCACCCAATCACTGTGCACTGCAGGTAAGCCACATCTACTCCTCTAACCAACCAGGAACATGAAACTTATTTTACATAATTTGTAAGGCAAGGCAAGTTTATTTATATAGCACATTTCATACACAATGGTAATTCAAAGTGCTTTACATTAAAATAAAATGCAATCAGTTCTGACATCGCACAGTGCTCATTCAATAAATGCACAGCGAAACAGATGGGTTTTGAGTCTGCATTTAAATGTGACTAATGTTTTAGCACATCTGATCTCTCTTGGAAGCTGATTCCAACTGCGGGCAGCATAATAACTAAAAGCAGACTCCCATTGTTTTGTGTGAACCCTTGGTATTTCTAACTGACTAGATCCTAATGATCTGAGTGGTCTGGCTGTCGGAGAGCATTTCACTGGCAATCTGACTTGGGGGGTTTGTCAGTCTCTCAACAGTAGCAAAAAGAGTGCGAGTGTTGTTTAAGTTATTGTTTATAAGGTTTTAGAAGAATGACTGTCTAGCTTTGCCTAGTTCCACATTGAAAGCATGAAGGCTGACTTTATATATGCTATAGTGAATTTCAAGTTTCGTCATCCGCCCAGCTTTTCTGCATTGTCTTTTCATACTCTGAACTGCTGTTGATTTTCTCCAAGCTGATTTCTGTCTGCCAGTCTTCCTGCTGACTTTCAAAGGAGCAATGTCATCAATAACATTCTTAACTTTTGAGTTAAAGGAATCAAGGAGAAGATCAACAGAGTCTGCAGAAATGCTTGGTGTTAAAGATATAGCCTCCATAAATAGCACACTAGTGTTTTCGTTAATGCATCTCTTTCTGACTGAGACCGATCTAGATTCAGTGGTAACAGAGATCAATATATCAAAGAAAATACAGAAGTGATCAGATAGTGTTACGTCCTTAATAACAATGGATGAAATGTTTAGACCTCTACTGATGAGTAAATCTAGAGTATGTCCCCGATTTTGTGTGGGTTCATGCACATGCTGAATCAGGTCAAAAGTATTTAGAACAGTTATAATTTCTTTTGTAGTTTTGTTTTCTGCATTATCTATGTGCATATTAAAATCCCCTGCAATAGCAAAACAGTCCAACTCTGAGGAAATCATTGATAGCATTTCTGTGAACTCTTCAACAAAGGCTGGAGATTATTTTGGAGGCCTGTAAATAATGATAAACAGAATGCGTGGAGCACCTTTCAACACAATCCCTAGATATTCAAAAGTCAAGTACTGACCAAATGACACTTGCTTGCATTGATAGACATCTTTAAATAGAGCAGCTACACCTCCACCTCTCCTAACAGTCCTGCAAACACTCATGAAAGTAAAGTTAGGAGGGGCTGTTTCATTGAGGACCGTTGCACTCCAGCTGTCTTCTAGCCATGTTTCGTTTAGAAACGTAAAATCCAGGTTGTTTGTGGTTATTAAGTCATTGATTAGAAATGATTTATTTTTTAGTGAGCGAATGTTTAAAAATGCTAACTTGATGGCATTGCATTTTGTCTCAACAGCAATATTAGTTTGATGCATAACAGGCCGCAGATTAGATGAGTCAGCTGTATGGCTTGAGAAGGCCTTGTAATAATATATTTGGATATTAATATATATTCATATTGTAAAATATTTTAGTTTTTTATGACAACAGATTTATTTTTATTCTATTGTTTTTACATTCTATTTGGTGGCTTTTTGTGAGGCATAATTTACGTTCCACATGCAAAACCTATTTTTATTAAAATATTTTGATTGCTAAGTTGCAAAATTACACTATCATTCAAAAGTTTGGGGTCAGTACAATTTTAAATGTTTTTGAAAGGCTGCATTTATTTGACCATAAATACAGTAAAAACAGAACAGCATTTATTTGAAATGAAACTTTTTTTTTTAATTTTTGAAATGGAAACATATTTGTCTTTACTGTCACTTCAATCAATTCAGTGTTCCCTTTGTTGAATAGTGAAAAGTGCTTATTTATTGTAATTTTTTTTTATCTTACTGACCCTTTTGAAAGGTAGTGTATTTTTAACTTGAAAAGGCTTTGACTTGTCCTTTTGTGCTCCAAAGGGAACCCATAAAACAAAAACAGGAAATAACAAGTTATTTAATGCATTTGTGGTTGTTACAGCAGCATACTACTCAAGAAGTTATTCATACTTACCATAAATCTTCTAGTGTGGATACAGGACGTTTTGGTTAGACTGGAATGCAAATTTGAATAGGTCTCACTGGTTTGGCAGCTTAAGTAAGGTTTAGTGGTTTTGTAATGCTAGAAGGCATCCATGGGTGCTTGGTATGACTTAACCAAAACCTGACCATAGTTACATCTCCAAAGCAATGATGAAACAGATAGAGCTGCAGTGTCCAGTGGGAATTCAGGGTCAGCCAATTAAGGAAAGCCAATTATGAAAAGTAGGAACAGACTCATTCATATCCACAGAGCGGTGAGTAATTGATGTTTGTGTGTTAACAGTGCCGGAGCAGGGCGCACTGGGACATTCTGTGCTCTGAGCACGGTCCTGGAGCGGGTGAAGGCAGAGGGCATTCTGGACGTTTTTCAGACGGTAAAGAGTCTAAGACTACAGAGACCGCACATGGTGCAGACACTGGTGAGAAAACACGTCACTCACGATGCAGTGTTGATCTACTAAACTGAACAAAGCGCAGTTTAATTGTTTTTGAACAATTGTTGTTTTTTTGCCAGAGGCATAAATCATGCTGTACTAAGGGAAAAATTGTGATAAGTTGCATTTGTTATTGAAAAAAAAAAAAAGGTTTCAAGTTTGCTGTGCTTGAGGGCTACACAAATTGACTGTTGTTATATATCAGTATGACTATAATACTAATACTACTACTAATAATAATAATAAATCATTACCATTTTGATTACTACTACTACTAAAACAAAATCAGAAATATTACAAATTGTAATTTATTATTCCAATTGTATTCGCTGTAACATAATAATCAAATATTTAAGATAATAATCATTTTTATTTTAGAGTACAATTGTAAAATTACAATACTAATATTTATGTCTCTCTTCATTTACAAATTTTAATTTTGGCAGAAACCACATGAAACCCTTAAAGCTTCACTTTTCTTGACAAAAAGTGGTTTATAAACATCGATTATTACAATTTTGGGAAGATGATTGACACATGTTGCGTTCTGAAATGCATAAAATATTCAATTCAAATTCAGAGCTCATCCAGAGATGAGTTCATGTGAAGTGTCATTTACTGCATATCGCTCTAAGACACTGAAAACACTGGATTATGAGCTGCTCACGTGTAAATGAAGACAGTGCCACACAGGGGGCGAACTATGGGGGAGCTAGGGGGAGCTCGGCTCCCCTTAAAGGGGTCATATGATGCTGCTAAAAATAACATTATTTTGTGTATTTGGTGTAATGAAATGTGTTTATGCGGTTTAAAGTAAAAAAACACATTATTTTCCACATATTGTACATTTTGGAAGACCAAACAAACTAGTTTCGCTTTCACAACGAAACACACGGCGGCCTAGCGTGAGGGCGCGATAGAGTGAGCTGAGGCCAGGCTAGAGTGAGGGGAAGCCCCGGCTCAGCGTGCACTGAGGCCGGGATAGAGTGAGCTGAGGCGGCGGGGTCGAGAACGGCGCAGCCGGCGGATCCGACGAATGAGCGGGAACCACATGTGACAAATTGATAGTACACAAAATATGTGTAAAAGGGCTGATAACAAATTAATGCTATGTTTTGGTTCGTGTCTTACACACAGGGTGCAAACTACGGGGGAGCTAGGGGGAGCTCGGCTCCTTTTAATAAGACATGGGCTCCCCTGAAAACGGGATTTGTGAAATTTTGGGGGGTCTCAAAAAATATTGACAATGTGTTATTTTGACGTGCAATTTCATTTTTGTGTAATGTGATCATCGTGGATTATTATGTGTGAAATTGCAAAAATATCATTCATTCATGCATGACGGCGATTTAAACCTAATTAACTTATAAACAATCTCTTTCTGACAGAAAAGAGCTTATAAACAATAAAGATAACTATACATGCTATTCTTGTCATGAGCATCAAGGTGTGGGGGTGCTGCGGTGCAAATTCCACTCATGTTTAGTACACGTTAACTCAAAGATTTGTAGAAAAACTATAAACGCTGGACTCTGTGGTCGGTTCTGTGTTAAGGTAAGGCATGTTATTCGCAATTATGTGTTGTGGCTGCGTTGTTATAGGTCTGCGTGACTCTCGATGTCTAAGGCCTAATTGAATGGAGGAATTATGGTATTCTTCTGTAGCCTGACGACAAGTAACTTTAAACGTTGTTCATGTGAACTCAAAGACAGCTGGATGCTTTGTTTATAGACTATTTGTGGGTGGCTGTTTGCTGTTTCACCTTCGTGTTGTTTGTGTTGATAAAGTATAATAGGGTAAATCCTGTATAGTGATTTATCCTATATAGTGCTTGTAGCAAGTATTGCATACACTTGTAGCTGTTATGTATCTTTGTAAGTCATTGTAAGCCCTCACGCAAGCAGTGCAACCCCCCGTTATAAAAAAAACGTGGGCTCCCCCAAAGTCCACGGTGTAGTTCGAACACTGGTGCCACGCTTCACTCTGAAACACAGAGCGCATATGTTTAATTCAATCATAGCCTTTGTGATTTGATAATCGTGTGAAGCCTTTGTGATTTGATAATCGTGTGAAGCCATATAGCGATTTCACTTAATCGTGTAGTCCTAGTAAAACATCATTAGAACAGGAAGAATAGGGGGTCGGGGTGATGTTATTTTCATGATAGATTTTATGTTTGTACCTCTATTTTTTGGAAAATAATCATCAAAACAAAAGTTACATCACATAATTAATATTCACAAGCCAAGCTGATAATGTTTTTAGATGGTTCCTACACCCCTGTTTTTATCTTGTTTTGTTTTTAGTACTTTAATCCAAACACCTCGACTCATTACATCCTGCTTTTCCCCACAGGAGCAGTATGAGTTCTGCTACAAAGTGGTCCAGGAATACATTGATGCCTTCTCTGACTACGCCAACTTCAAGTAAAGCCACACCCTCCTGCAGAAGATCGTACAGACATTCCCAGTCATGCAGTCACGTCCAAACTTTCACAAAAACACAGCTAAACGAGACGGACTGCCAGCGCAAAGCAAAAGGGAATGAAAATCCTTTGGCCGGCAAGCACGAAAACACGTTGGTGCTGAAGATGGAAAGAAAACAAACAAAGAAAACACCATTAGAGATGCCTTCTTGAATATTTTGTAATATTGCTCTTGTTAATAAGGCCCTTACCCATTTCTCTCAGTGTAAATATGCTCTTGTATTTCTTTTTTGTTTTGTTTCATTTGTTTGGTTTTAGAAGCCATTCTGTTGCGGTTTTTAGAGTGACCTTAATATAGTTTACTGGTATATAAATGCAAACATGAATGGCGCTATAGAGACAGAGCGGTAGAAAGATGAGGGAGCTTTTCACTGGGTGTTTTAACAAGAACTTCCTTCTTTCTCTGCAGTTGAGTGACTGAAACCTATTTGAATGGCAGCTCAATCCCACTATGCTGTTGCCTGTAGCTACATAACGCACAACGCGGCAAAATCAACCAACCGTGGTGCATCAGCGACTGTAAACGCGTGCGTTCGCAGAAAACACTTCACTGTGCTTTTTGATTGTGTTTACTGGAGTGACCGATATCATTTCTGAGTCCATTTTTTTTAAACAGGGACCGTTTTTTTGGGCCGTGACTAAGGCGTGCGTCCCTTAGATCTGAAGATGTTAAGTGTGTTTTTGTGATGTCCATTTTGTTATAGTGTGCCAACTTGGTCCAAACTAGATGATGGTAGAGGAAGATAAGACTAAATAAGACAAACAAGAGGAAACCCTGAGTATGTCAAGACCAGAGAAATTCCACTTAATTTTTCTTTTGTGTTGTTTTGTCCCCTTGAATCTCACAAGGGTTTGCTTCAAGTTTCATTCCCTGCCCAAACATCTTTTATTTTCAAGATCGCTCTAAAAGCACCTTCTGTATTTGTGATTATAATCAAGGAAGTGATGCATTTACTTGCCAGGATGTCTGATAATTGGCCTTAACAACTGTGCTTGACTATATGGTTTCATAATGTACTTTCCTTCATTTGAAGATAAATGATCCCACCGGTTTCTCTACTTGCAAGGTACTGGTGCAAAGTCGATCTAGAAAGTTCCAATAGAAATGACACATGATCACCTAATCATCTGTTCCTGCCTGTGTAAAGGACTTTAGCCGTGGTGCCGAAGTCAACAAGCCCTTTCCAGCTCCACTGAGCCAGTTAGATTGATATATGACGCTTCAGCCCTTAGCCATGAACACTTTCAACTTCTCCAAGCATAAGGACCAGGTAGATGGTAAAAATGAGGACATGTATTGTTATTTTAACTAGTGATTATCAGCAAGTTATTTTCCAGCAAATGTTTTATGTAGGTTAAGCCCTCGTTCCACACTGCCTTGTGTTAGAAAATGCAAGTTTTATGAAATGTATGTAAACCCTATAGTTGTCGTTCAAAATCACTCACCCATCTGTCATTCCATGGTAACAGGGTTCTTGATGGAAACTGTTATTATTTCAGATCCATGATATTCCGAATGATGAATTGCAGATTTCTATTACAGCCCCTCTTAAGATATTCCATGAAATGCTGACAGATTTGCTTGAGTATTGTGTGAGTCGACTGTTGTGATTTGCTTAAAGTCACACTAACCCTTTCCACATGAGACACTGTGCCAATAGCAGCCTCTCAGGGGCAGGATCCTTCTTCAGAGGTGGGAAAGTGCCTCATCACGTTCCTGTAGCTTCAAGCATATTCCCGCCTGCTCTTTTGTAGCTCATGTTCTCCCAATCCATTGGGACCTTGTGGCCTGTACACGGCGTATGATAATCTGTAATGGAACCCAAACGGTTGCTTTTCTGTGTTTTTGGTGTGTTTTCAAACGATTTTTTCCTTCTTTGCTTACATACCATATAAAACCATCCTGGAGAAAGCACCAGACTTCAGGACAATTCCCTCAAAACCCAAGCTCTTAATGTACGCAGAGCAATCTAGTTCTTCTGGTCATGAAGGGAAGCCATGTATCTGGGGGCTCACTTCATTCTTCTATTGAATGTGATATTGAAATGCTTGGACAAAGACTGAAAAGTAAAGGATTCTGCTCTCCAAAAAACCCATGAAAATTGAGGATTTCATCGGAAACCCCTCTTTAATTGGATTGTTTATAAATTTCAAACTACAGCCTGTTTTATGTTCCAGAAATCCTAAAAATGTTACCCTTTCTGGTTTTTCTTTTCTGTTTATGCACCCTTCTTGTACATAATGTAAGGTTATTTATATTTCATTCCTATCTGTTGCCTTTATTTTATTTTTATCTTTCTCTCACTTTTTTTATTTTTTATTTTAAAGATACTTGTATATTAAACTGTACTGGGACCATTTTGAAATGTATTCGATTTTTTCCCCGTTTTTAATTCGGTATTATTGTCTTAAAATCGTATCTTTTAATTTACATCTGTTTTTTCTAGTGTTTTGTTATTAAAATTTGAATATATATGTATATATAATTATATATATATATATGATACAAATTATATAATGCCAAACGGCCTTTCTAAACAAGATACGGTTCAAACCTAATAAAAGTGCTTGAGATTTTATCTGCAGTCATTTTACTTTGTGCATCTCTGAAACATTAGAAATATAATTTTTATGTCTGAATATGTATACTATCATTCAAAAGATATTTTGTATGTAGTAAATTGATCTATAGTGACCGTAAAACATGTATACAGTACAAATTCATCAAACAGTCCTGAAACAAAATGTATCACAGTTTCCATAAAAATATTAAGTGGGGCAACCTTTTTCAACATTAATAATAAAATAAAGTTCTTGAGCACCAAATCGGCATATTAGAATGATTTCTGAAGAATCATGTGACACTGAAGGCTAGAGTAATGATGCTGGAAATTCATCTGCCATCACAGGAATAAATTACATTTTAAAATAGAAAACAGTTATTTTAAATACTGTTTTGACTTATTTTAAAGAAATGCCACTTTGGTGAGACTTGATCCCTGAGGGAAAATTCTGGAAGAGTGTCACGTCACCTCGTGTCACCTTGTCTCCCCATCCTTCCTGACCCGTCAGACCTGAGATGTGGATGGATTATCACCATAGACCCATGTACGTGTTTAAACACCATTTGACAGGAACTCAATCAGAACTTGAAACTCTGCGATGAGTCAGTCGTAATCCGTCTGTCACATTCTCTGCTTCGATCACCACGAGGGAGACCTTCTGTGTAATTAAGAACACAGTCAGGCTGGAGTGTTTGTACAGTGTTTTTCTTTCTGGGCCAGTGTGCGTTTCGTGTGGATCAGGGGGTCACGAATGACGGATGTAAGGTCACGCTGGCCACTTTTTACAGCTTAGAGGAAATGAGCTGGACATTTGCTTTTTTAATAAAACATGCTCATCAAGAATGTGCGCTATTGGGGTCACTGGAGTTGAAAAATGACAGAATATTCTATACATGCAGAATAAATATCAGCAGTGTAGATGGCTAGTGGCACAATAAATGTAGATTTATTATAGATCTATATAAATAAAAATTTACAATTTCTTAAAAGCCTACACTGCTGTTCATTATTATTTCAAATAAATGCTGCTCTTTTGAACCTATTTTCTTCTCTTTTCCTTAATTAGCACTTTGGCACATGCTTGGCCATTGTTTTGAAGCTAAAAATCTGAATAGCCTCAAAATTACGCACATGTGACGTAGTTGCCAAATGTGTCTGGGTTTAACTCATGATGTGTACATTTACATGAGTGTTTTGTTGGAGAAAGAGGACACTGTCCTGTGGGGGTCAACAGTGTTTGGAGAGGATAATTGGAATTGAGCTCATCTTACACATGCTCTCCTCCCATTGGCACCGCAATGACCACACAAAGTGTTTGAGAACAGAGGAGGTCAGTGTGTGTGTGTGTGCGCTTAGACAGGGAGGTGAGATCTGGTGTGAGACATAAATTGTGAGGAAGAGGAGGAGGAAGATTCCAGAGAATGAGTGGCAGACGTATCTCAGAAGCTCACTGAACCGTTTACTTGAGGGAAAGGAGACCATATCAGGATTACCAAGACCAGGACTTCACAGTAGAGAAACTACTACAGAAGATCCTTCAAGAGAAGACGTGCCAAAAGGTAATCACAATTTTCTTTGGTTTGTTTCGTTTTGATTTTAGGCGGTAAAACTGATTTTGTTGCTATTGATGTATTGACAGTAATTCGGTCTCCATTGTGCTTTATTGTCTCTTAAGCATCATTGTCATGATGCTTTTCAGTCAAACATTTGTCCTGAAATTGTTAGGCTGGTAAACGTAGACCTGACTAACTTTTAAACATGTCTATAGCTTTTGGCCCTTCTTACTCTCTATTCATCTCACCAGTCTCTGTTCTCTTCCCTCAGTTATGGTGCACATCTGCAGGCTGTTTGTGGTGATGGGGATGTTGTTGTGTCTAAGTGCCCAGTTTGCCAGCTCTCAGCACTGGTCTCATGGCTGGTATCCTGGAGGAAAGAGAGACATAGACGTGTACGATACCTCAGAGGTGTGTGAATGAATATTACCAAAGAAATTTAAGTCTATCAGAAAGAACAATACTGCCAGAGAAGGACTGTCTTTTTGCAATGTGGCGCAAAAGGTAAAAATGTTAACTGTAACCATATGGTTGGTAAGTTGGTTTGGTTATTAGATTTTTGAAAATTTTATTAGATTTAAAATGAAAATACATGTAATTTACTTTCAAATTAAGAATCATTTCTTTATATGATCAATGTATTTTTCAAAACAGCAGCATTTATTTAAAATAGAAATTGTAACATTATAAATGTCTTTACTGTCATTTAGGTTATGCTGTTTAAATAATGTGTATTGTATTATTATTGTATTATTGTCATGTGTCTTACATTGACGAGGTTCTATACTGTTTTTACATGTTTATAAGCCTTTGTTAATGGAAAGGTTTATTTTGATGTGCTTTAAGCCATCGTGTTGCTTTCTATTTGACTTTAAAACCAGGTTTCAGAGGAAATTAAACTCTGTGAGGCAGGAAAATGCAGCTACCTGAGACCCCAGGGAAGAAACATTCTGAAGACAATACTGGTGAGTACAGGTGCTGTTTTGGCTTGATTTTTTTTCCATCAGCAAATAGCCTAGTGATTACATAAGCTAGTCATGACAGGATATTGTGAATATTTCTCTAAAACTTGACTAACTTGTTGGCTTTTACAGCTGGATGCCCTCATACGGGATTTCCAAAAGAGAAAGTGACACCAAGATGACGCAACAGCCTGTGTCCTTTCCAGCAAACACATTAGGCCTGCATGTCCATCCAAATTATATATATAATTATTTTGTTATTCTGTGATTTTTTTTGTATGTTTTGCATTTCGTTCTGTTCTCATATCCATTGTGAGTGAACCTATACTGCCAGCACTATGTAACCATTTGCAGCAGTTCCTACAATAAAGGCTTTATTTTGGTATTTTGCTTTAATTGTTCAGTGTCTTTTTATTAGTTATAGGTACATTCACCAATTTTGCTCAAGACAAGAGCGAAATTGTTTTAAAACTACAATGTTTACACACACAAAAATAACAGGCGTCAACTGCATGAATAAAAACAGACGTATTTACAGGTGCATCTAAATAAATTAAAATGTCGTGGAAAAGTTCATTTATTTCAGTAATTCAACTCAAATTGTGAAACTCATGTATTAAATAAATTAAATGCACACAGACTGAAGTAGTTTAAGTCTTTGGTTCTTTTAATTGTGATGATTTTGGCTCACATTTAACAAAAACCCACCAATTCACTATCTCAACAAATTAGAATACTTCATAAGACCAATAAAAAAAACATTTTTAGTGAATTGTTGGCCTTCTGGAAAGTATGTTCATTTACTGTACATGTACTCAATACTTGGTAGGGGCTCCTTTAAGCCCAGGGTTCTTTGACAGTGGCCATTTTTTGGTCCCTTGTTTCTCATTTTCCTCTTGACAATACCCCATAGACTCTCTATGGTGTTCAGGTCTGGTGAGTTTGCTGGCCAGTCAAGCACACCAACACCATGGTAATTTAACCAACTTTTGGTGCTTTTGGCAGTGTGGGCCGGTGCCAAATCCTGCTGGAAAATGAAATCAGCATCTTCAAAAAGCTGGTCCGCAGAAGTGCTCCAAAATGTCTTGGTAAACGGATGCAGTGACTTTGGTTTTCAAAAAACACAATGGAAAGGCTCAGGAAACCTTTGCAGGTGTTTTGAGTTGATTAGCTGATTGGCATGTCACCATATTCTAATTTGTTGAGATAGTGAATTGGTGGGTTTTTGTGAAATGTGAGCCAAAATCATCACAATTAAAAGAACCAAAGACTTAAACTACTTCAGTCTGTGTGAATTGAATTTATTTAATACACGAGTTTCACAATTTGAGTTGAATTACTGAAATAAATAAACTTTTCCACGACATTCAAATTTATTGTGATGCACCTGTATTTATTTAGGGAAATAACATTTTAAAATATTTTAGTATATTAGAGATACACACACAGACACACACATATATTATATACATATATATATATATATAATTACATTTTTGCTAATTAAAATAAATTTTGTTTTAATTTAATTTATATTCATTTTAAACTATTTTTGTTTAGCCACCAGATGGCGCAAATGTACATATCAAAATTCATTCGGCCCAGGAATGAACAAGTTAATATTGACAGTCCTGTAAAACCCAAACTTAATGCAGTGCAAGACCTGTACGTTTTTAAGGCTGAAGTGAATATGTTTATTATATAATCAAGCATGTGCTGTGAAATTAATATTCAAGTCCAGTTGGATTTTATGTTCACTATGGCTCTTATATTATGAACATACTGATCCCACTTAAATATCATCTTGCCATCACCAGTAAAAAGAATAGAAATGATCAGTGTAGACAATATAACCCATTAATTCTCAGTTGACCCTGGTACTGAGGCTGTTGATATTACAGGAGATAGTGAGGGACGTAGTGTAGAGGCTAGCAGGAAAAAACATCCACTGATACAGACAAGTTCCCTTCAGAGAAGGAGACGGCTGAGACCTCAGTCCATTCCCTGGGTTATTCTTAGCATGAAAGCACACTGAAACCGTTATGCCACCATCATGCCCTCTCTCTCTTAAGCACACACACACACACACACACACACACACACACAGTAATTTGTGACAGCCTACAAGACTCACATTCACATGGAATATAATGTATGTTCTCTTCTAATCTAGAAAATAGCACTGAACACAACTTGGACAAAGGCATTGCATTTGCATGTGTAGTTTTCATATTAAGTGTAGGCAACATAAATGTTTTCGTCTGCTTCCAGCAACTGACGACATTCCCTAAAGGAATAAAGATCATACAACAGAAAACATGCACACAATACAAAATGTACCAACCTATTCATCAAATAGCTGTGCAATCACAATCAATATTTTTGTAATACAAATTTAACTATGTGATAGAATGAAAAATGAAATAAGCAGGAATGAGTCACTTTAAACATGGCAAGCACCCAGCTTTAATTTCTTCTGGATGCAGGAACAGACCTTGAAATATGAAAGAGCATATTTTTCACTACTGGTAACTAGAATATTTACTGCAATAACACAGATGATTTTTCTATTTTTTTCTTGTGTTGGGTATGTAGAGATTTGAGGTTTCACTATTGCACAATTAAAGAAACAGTTCAGCCAAAAAAAGAAAAAAAAAAGATCTTGCATTTTAGCTGGTAGGAATGGTTTGAAGTATTACTTATTGTGGATGTTTTTATCAGCTGTTTGGACTCTCATTCTGACGGCAGTGGCACCCATTTATTGGTGAGCAAGTTATGTGCTAAATAAAATGTTCTGATGAAGAAACAAACTCATCTACATCTTGGATGGCCTGAGGGTGAGTACATTTTCAGCAAATTTTTATTTTTGGTTTAACTATTCCTTTAAACATCTTGGAAGGTGTCCCATATTTCTTTTTCATTTATTAACGTATCCATTCGGTTCCAGCTCTTGAACCATGTTTTAATACATTCTCCAGGTTTAACAAATCCCAATACATTTTCCCATAGCTTTCAGACGTAAAATAATACACCAAGAACAATCAAAAATTCAACACTAACTGTTTAGCTCGATGAGATTCTTGTGTATACTCTCCCACACTTCATGTCAGACACCACATGTGCACAATCAAATACAGTAATGCCACTTGGCATTTAACTGCTCGAATTCTTCAAGCATCATTTTTTAAGTGTTCTACACGCTAGTAACACCATCATAACCAAAACAAATGTTGATAGATGTCATTTGCGTTCTTTCTATAGCCTAGCTTTTGCGAAAGAGGTGGGTTAAGGACAGAGATTTCCTTGGACGCACATTTGAATAGTTATACAGTGGCGTGCGGGTGGGGGACCGAAGTACAAACCCCACCCACCCACTGATAAAAAATATATATCCTAGCTTAGTAAATGCGTACAGTTGGGGAAAACGTCAAACTAAAATAATTGCAGTAATAATTTTCTCGTACAGCAAAGCTATTCTGAACTAAGTGTATGTCATTGTTGGGCAATTTATTTAGCGTTGTGTTTAATAGATTTGGAAAGGTGAAGCAGTGTGTGAGATGTCAACACAGCACAGGCTACTTTTCCCTGGGCTGCACTGTCTTTTTCTTAGATTTATGTCGATCCTTTGCTAGGTTTGTCATCTTTCGATGCGGAATTGACGTTTTATTGTTTTATCAGTTACCATAAAATCTCCAGATTTCTATGTTCGCGGATGACGTCCATGTAACGACATATAGCCTAACTAGGTAAGTTTCGCTAAGTGGTGTAGTTATATATCCATTTGTTTACACGTTTGAAACTAGAAATGCGTAAAAAATAACGTTTAATTGAAAGAAATGTATGATTATGATATAGGCTACATTAATGTGCAAAAAAAATATTTTCCATTTACACTAAAGTCAAGTAGGCTAGTCTAATCATTTAAAAATATCCAAATTGACTTGTTTTCTTACTTGTTCTCCGATTGCATTTTTTAAATGTTACTCAAGAGTCCGAATTCGATCAAATGTAGCCCATACAGAGTTTCCGGTTTCTTTCTAATGAAGCAATTAGATTATTATAAAAGGGGCTTTGGGGTTATCATGTATGGAAGCCCGTTTCCGCCACTGAATAAAAAAATATAATTCTGTAAGTCATAATAATGAGAAACTTTCTCGTAATAATGACTTAGTATCTCGTAATAATGACTTAGTTTCTCATAATAATGACTTAGTATCTCGTAATAATGACTTAGTTTCTCATAATAATGACTTAGTATCTCGTAATAATGACTTAGTTTCTCATAATAATGACTTAGTATCTCGTAATAATGACTTAGTTTCTCATAATAATGACTTAGTATCTCGTAATAATGACTTAGTTTCTCATAATAATGACTTAGTATCTCGTAATAATGACTTAGTTTCTCATAATAATGACTTAGTATCTCGTAATAATGACTTAGTTTCTCATAATAATGACTTAGTATCTCGTAATAATGACTTAGTTTCTCATAATAATGACTTAGTATCTCGTAATAATGACTTAGTTTCTCATAATAATGACTTAGTATCTCGTAATAATGACTTAGTTTCTCATAATAATGACTTAGTATCTCGTAATAATGACTTAGTTTCTCATAATAATGACTTAGTATCTCGTAATAATGACTTAGTTTCTCATAATAATGACTTAGTATCTCGTAATAATGACTTAGTTTCTCATAATAATGACTTAGTATCTCGTAATAATGACTTAGTTTCTCATAATAATGACTTAGTATCTCGTAATAATGACTTAGTTTCTCATAATAATGACTTAGTATCTCGTAATAATGACTTAGTTTCTCATAATAATGACTTAGTATCTCGTAATAATGACTTAGTTTCTCATAATAATGACTTAGTATCTCGTAATAATGACTTAGTTTCTCATAATAATGACTTAGTATCTCGTAATAATGACTTAGTTTCTCATAATAATGACTTAGTATCTCGTAATAATGACTTAGTTTCTCATAATAATGACTTAGTATCTCGTAATAATGACTTAGTTTCTCATAATAATGACTTAGTATCTCGTAATAATGACTTAGTTTCTCATAATAATGACTTAGTATCTCGTAATAATGACTTAGTTTCTCATAATAATGACTTAGTATCTCGTAATAATGACTTAGTTTCTCATAATAATGACTTAGTATCTCGTAATAATGACTTAGTTTCTCATAATAATGACTTAGTATCTCGTAATAATGACTTAGTTTCTCATAATAATGACTTAGTATCTCGTAATAATGACTTAGTTTCTCATAATAATGACTTAGTATCTCGTAATAATGACTTAGTTTCTCATAATAATGACTTAGT